TCTGGATATAGAAGACATCCGGTGCATTCTCCGTGTTAAACCTGAACTGGTCCATAAAATCTGATGCCATGCTCACCTAATTGGCCCACTTCTTAGGATTTTGGCTTATGTACCAGGATAGGGCATCTCCAGTAAGACTTCTCATGAAGAGCTTCATTCGAATCCTTTCATCTTTTCCGACCCCCACGAGCTTGTCACAATAAGTTCTCAGATGAACCTTGGGATCACCCGTTTTGTCAAATATTTCGAACTTGGAAGATTTGTAACCCTCCTGTAGTTCCACATCTGGTTGTATGCATAAATCCTCATAGTTCAGACCCTCTATCCCTTTACCTCCTTCAATACCCTGAACTCGACTTGTCAACTTCTTGAGCTTTTCGACCATGTTTTTGATGAGCAGGTCCTTCTCAGTGGATTCTGGTGTATAGGAGATTAGTTGAGTGGAGTGAGGTAGGGTTTCCACGTATATTGGGTTGTTTTGGTGGGTGCCAGGGATTATTGATAGAGGATTAGGATTTTGGAGAGAAGTTGCATATTGATAGGGTGTGAGAGGATTTTGTGGACGTTGATTTGGCGTGTTTTGAGGAGGTGCTAGGTTTTGAGCATTTTGTTGGTTGACGTCTGGGATGTTTAGGGTGAAGGAGAGGTTTGCCAAGTTGCGGACCTGCTCAAGTTCTCCTAGTAAATCCAGTATTTTCTGCTCCAATCGTAGGACCAAATCATTCTGGATCGGAGTACTCCGACCGTCTGAAGTTTCAATATTCTCAGCATTTTCTTTTCGGATACCACTCAGATCATAAATCTTAGCTTTTCCTCTTCTTTTCGGATTACTCGGAAGAGGATGAGGTGGAGGGCCTCTAGATCTGGTGTGATATGTTGATGATGCCAGTATGTGCGAACCAACCTTAGGGGATGAGAATAATAAAAAATAAAGAAAAATAAAAGGTAAATAAGTCATTAAGGATTCTGAAAATGTGTGCACTATTTAAACACATATTGCGGGAATATAAATCCACGTCCTAATATGGGAGCCTCATCGTGCTCGAGGTAGGCCTAGCGACATGTTGATTTGGATAATTTCAGTGTCAATAATTGCCTCATTTCATTAATGTAAAAATAGATGAATCTAAAACGACATTAAATAAGATAAGTCACTGATGACACTTAGCCTTATACATCTGAAAAAGTAAATAAACCTAATCTACTTGGTCCCAGAAGGACCTTTTCCAGGCTTGATGTTTTTGGCTTCGTCGATCAAATGAGGCCAGTTCGCGCAGGTTCAGCAATAGGTATGCCCTTTCTAAATGTCCTTCTTCGCTTCCTTCGGCTTTCTAGCAATCGGTGACTCTCTTCCTCAGTTTTCCCTCCAATTCCATCATACTGTACTCCAGATATTCCAACCTTTCGCCTAATCTAACAACTATCTCCCTCCATTCATTAATTAGTCCCATATCGGTCTTGTGTCACTCCAGATGCTTGGCCTCAGACTCGTGAACTCTTTTGCGCAGTTTGTTATATTTCACTTGCGCTTCAGCAACTTCAGCTATGACTCTGTTCCCTCGACCAATTCTTGGCTCAACTATCCCTGCTAAGCTGTCTTCTGACCATGATGGATAGAAGTGCACATGCCCTGCGTGATACCAGTCTTGTTCGATGGTATCTCTCCCTACAATGATCTTCAAGTTCCACATATGTTGAGCTTCATATTTGTATGGGACGTCATCATCTTGAAAATCTGCCCTATAGTGACTCATTGTAGAAACTCGCGGTATGACTTACTTCCTGCCTGCCTATCTCATAACCCTGATGAGAGCATAAGGGTATATGCCCCTTAACCCGATCAGTACCAAGTGCGGAACATCCCTAGATATGATGATGAATTCGTCGGTAGGGAACTATTCGAACATCCATTGAACCTAATCCTCGGTCAAATTGCTGAAAAACTGCGCCCATTCTATAGCATTCTCGAGTTGAGAAACCCTGTCTAGGATATAGGTCATTCTCTTAGGATGATGGAAAGCTATGTGATCTTTCCACGGCCTTAGAGAAAGCTCTTGACGGTATTGACCTCTTTGGAGATGCTCTAAAAACCAAACTTGTAGTAGTAGATTACAACCTTCGAAGTATTTGTACCCCTCTGACAGCGCTCTAAGGCCCGGTATATGTCTGCTATGATCATAGGGATAATGGTATATGTCTGCCCCTCGATCCCATCCATCAAGGTTTTGGTTACCATGGCCAGTCTAGTGTGGATTCTATTCCCTTGGTTCGGGAACACTATCATACTCAAGAAGCAGACGATGAACACAAAAACCCTACGATGAATCCAACCCAAGAAAGATTGAGAATTCGTCATGATAAATACGATAAGATCTGTTGTGACCATATTGTTCATAGAGGAAGTCAAAGGGTATGTAAGACTTCTTCAGGCACTCTATGTCCTCATTCTTTCTCAGACCCATCATTTTCAGAAACTTTTGGGAGTGCGATTTTCTGGTACCAATAAACCAGGACTATCCCAAGGTATCCCAGCGAATCCCCCTATTTCTTCCAAGAGAGGGGTCATTTCTATGTTTTCAAAGCGAAACACGACTCTTTCTTTGTCCCAGAACATTGTGGCAACTTCATGTTGTTCGGTTGGAGGTCCAGTAGAGAAGGCAAATTTTTCAAGACCCTTTTCACATGATTTTTATCGCTTGATCTCCCACCAATCTAGCAGCAGTGGTGGTATGTTACGGACCATGCCGAACCTGGGGACTTCGTGCCTTATTTTCTACAAAACAAATATGGTTAGACCCTTTCCCCCTCCATATTCGACTATTTATATAACATTGATTAGCGTATTGGCACTTATTTCTCCAAAATTAATGCACAAAATCGTGGTTGCGTCCGTTGGGATTATTGAAACCCTGATGGACTTTTGGACGAGGCTTGTCTTAAAGGGTTATTATGTGGACAACATATTAACCCGGCTAAGTTTGACCGTGATGCATGTACAATTAATTAGAGTAAGGTTTCTATAGAGGTCTAGACTGGTACCCTCAAGTGGACAACTTGAGGAGGAAAGGCACAGAACCGTCGACTGCACCGCTAATCGACTAGTTTTACCGCAAATAAGCCTTTCCGAATTTTAAGGGTGATATATAGGAAAGGTGCAAACACTCATCAAGCGTTGCTATAGGATTGATTACGCATGAGTAGAATATGATGTTGAGCATGATTTATGCAACAATAAATATCATGTTGTCACGTATTTGCACGTTAAAAATGATAAATGCGGTATTTAATAATTGAAAGACGTTTAAGAAAGAAAACAAGGAGACAAATCAGTTTCTGTAATAGAGGAAATCATAAATACTTGAAAATAGGCAATTAAATCCAGATAAAAGGGGAATGCGAAAGGATGCACACGTATTAACAGAATAAAGCATGTTTAAGACTAATTCACAAAAAGCAAGTTTGTTATGGTAAGAGCCTAATTATCTTCAGCAGAGTTGCCATGCTGTCGCACCCCCTTATTTCTCGCTGAGTCCGGGTTTCGATATTTGAGACTACTCCTTTCCTTTTGGAATTGGGTAAGAGATTTGAAGAGTTGCCACCTAATGGATTAAGGTGCGTTAGGGCACCTAGAACAAATAACTCATGAAACTAGTTCACATCACCACAGATCGGGTAAGGACTCGAAATTACCTTGAGGGGAAGGTGTTAGGCACCCCTCGAGGTCCACAACGGTGGGTCCCGGTCAAACTCAATTAAGCGAATTAGTCTTAAAGGAAAGTTACACAATTTAAAACAAATCGATAATTACTTTAAAACAAGAATTGAAGAGGTTCTACGTTTTTTAGCCTATAGGATCATTACATGCAATACTTTGTAACTTTCCCCAAATTGGGGTATTACGCATAGCATTAGCGCACAGGTCATCGTCTCCTTTACTACCCCATTACTATCTTTCAGTTGTTACCTAAGCGTTCTAGTAGCGTCTAATATGTAACTTATGCGTGCACTACCCGTCCCTTACCCATAGTCCTGGAGGTGTTTAGGACTTCTATTTAGGATGGATCTAGACTTACCTACGTTGCTTAAAAATAGGAAAACTAAGCGACAAACAAAATTCAGATGGGACTATCATGTAAGGAGCAAATAAGGGGGCTCATTGTTAACCTCCACAAATAGCCAACCAATATACGCAATTCGAACAAACAAAGTTTTATAGTTTTGGATCCTATCGACAAGATATATAGATGAGCATGAACAGAATATACAACAACTTTATTAAACCGAGCAGCAGTACCTATAAGTTTGCCTACTGATATTTGTCAATATTCAAAATCTGGGCGTGTTTCAAGCAGCAAGAAATCATAGTTTTTTTAAACCCAAAATTCTTAATTACACTACAGGCTTGCCTAAGTGAGGACCGGAGCAGAATCCTATAAGCATGGTATATAAAACTGTTAATTAACGACTACAGTTTATAAACCAGTTACTGATTTTAACAAACAGGTTTTTATCTCTTTAGATCCTATAGACATGCTTTCTAATTTGCAAAATCAGTTAGCTCCTATAAACATGATTTCTAGGTGTTGGGACTGAAACCTTCTTTATTCCTATAGGCATGACATCTATTAATTTAAATCCTATAGACATGATTTCTAGGTTTTTGAAATTGATTCCTTCTTTATTCTTATAAGCATGACATCTATCAATCACATGTGGGCAAAATTTTAAACAACTTGCTAGGAAAGTTATTATTTGAACAGATAGGATCCTATAGACATGGTTACTAATGCATGTAAGTTAAAAAATATGCATGGATCATATGGACAGGATTTCTAATGCAAGGGGACTATAAACAGAATATCTAGCATGCAGATGAAACACAGAACAAAGCACTTAGAAAATCTTATAGGCATGATCTCTAAACAAATAGTAACATTCACATAATCGAACCAATAAACATATAAGCAAGATTTCTACCCGACTTTCAAACAAAGATATGAAAAATCCCTCCCAGTTTTTACTCATAAACCCCAGATATGTTCATTACAAAAATTATTACAGCCTAGAATGAATAAATTACATAACAGTAGCTATTACACTATAGGGAGCTTAGCAGGCCCAATATGAACCTGGGAACCAGGCCTTCAAATATAGCAACTTTGAAGCATAATGGTAATCCATCCATAGCATATAAAATTGGACTCCTAGTGTGTCAAAGTTCCCAAGGGTATCAGGACCCCCGGGCAATGCTCACACCAGGACCACACTCAGAGAAGCAGTTCATAAAAATATTAGAAGACCTGCCCCAATGTGTCAGAGTTCAGAGGAGTCTCAAGGACCTTAGGCAGTGCTCACACTGGGGGTGGTAGGAATCTAAATAACTAAGAGTGGAAGTTTGAAAACTAGTACATAAAGGGTAAATGAGAATAGGTTTAGAAATCAGCACATACAGAACAGTAACAGAACTGCACCAGAAACAAACAAACTCATTTTCAGCATATAGTTCAATTAAGTTGATATTTGTTCAGACTAGATACTCATACCAGCATTTAAAGTAATCATAAAGCAAAGATACTTGAACTAACGTACAGAATTAACCACAGATTACGTGCTTACAATATCTAACAATAGTCAGAATAGGGAACATATAGCTGAATTGGACAGGAAACATATTGCTGAAAGTAACTTAGTGTAGCATTGTCACTAAGTGGGATCATGTAGTCATAGAGAAAATAGAAGCATGCTGAAAATTTAAATAGACTAACCGAATAACGCATGTAGAACAGAATAGAATAACAGGGGTTAAGGCATACCAATTGAGAAGAAAGAAAGTAAAGATGCAGTAGCAGTTAAGTTCCAGAACAATTTGGCATTGACTTTTAGCCGGCCAAATAATAGTCACTTAGTACAGAAATCAGAACAGGAGCAAGAGAGAGCTTAAGTTTTTTGTAGTGAGAATAGGAGAGTTCACATGTTCTCCAAAGGGGAAAGGGGAAGGGTTTTTATAGCATAAAATAGAGTAAAACCAAATAAGGTAGGAGAACCAATGGTACACAAATAAGGCAAAGAGATCAGTTAATCAGTCAACTACGGCTAACAGGAATCAATTAATAGGATAGAATTGAGCAAGTATCACTTAATTTAAGGAAAATCTCACATGGAATCAATCAATAATTAAGAATAAGGTTAAATAAGGTAAAAACTAATTCCAAAATCAATTTTAGGAGTCAAAACGCAAAGTCAAGCCAGTAATACAGATAGTTAATCACATAAATAAAGTAAGAACTGGTAAAATCTTAATAAAGAAATACTGGTACTAAAAGGAAAGTTGATTCCAAACCCTAATTTAGGTAAGTAGAATTAATTAACACATAATTAACATAATAAAAGGTAAACGGGCAAAAGACAGTAGAATAAATAGTCAAAGAATCAAAACCTTAAGAAATACAAAGACATATAGATGGAGCTTGATTAAATCAAGTAAAATCAGTCGAAAAATTAAAATAGGAAAATCAGAGATGAAAACATTTAAACGCTAAAACCTTTTTTTTGCAGAAATCCATCAGAAATCAAAACCCTAGCTTTTAGGATAAATGAAATCGGTCAATAATACTGAAAACGGAAAATTTTAAGGGAGAAATACCAAACAAACACAGAATCGTTTCAGATCTAGAGAGATCTAAATGGATTCAACCAGAAATAGTTAGATTCATGAAAATAGCCAGAAGCGAATCAAATCTAGTTTGAACCAAAGATTTGAATCCTCAAAAATACGAACAATACTTATACTCACACGTATCGGGGTGAACATAGACGGGATAGTCGAGAAAGGAGAGACTTTGAACCAGAGTTGGTTCGAGTCTCTTGGAATTCACATCAAGCAGCATAGAAATTGTGTAACCAGTAGAGGGGTGAGGCAAGATAAGGTATAAAATCGAAGGAAAACCCCATGAATCAAGGGGGATATCAATGACGGCGGGCTAGGGTTAGAGGGGGGTGAGAGAGAAGAGAGGAAAGAAGGGATTCAGAGGCGGTGGGTTTGGGAAAATGAGGGTAGAGTTAGGAGGTTTAGTTAATTAAAAAAAGGAAGGTGGATCCTGGACCGTTGATCTTCTGAGATCAACGGCCAAGATCAATTCCAGGCTGGGGCAAGTTATGGACGAGTAGGGTAATTGGGCTGGGAGGTCCGAAAAATGTAATTAAAAAAGGCTATGTTTTAAATACCCATTTAATTTAATAAAATAATTTTTAAAAATAATTTATAAATGATAAAAATGTCATTTGTGCATGAAAATAATTTAAAATAATTACTTAATATTATAAAAATATAAAAAAACTATTTTCCATGTAAATAATATAATTATGCATATATGGGCTATTATTCTGAAGTTATTGCAATTATAGCCTAAAGATACAAATATAATTATGCATGAAATGATTAAAGCTTAATATAAATGATAAAAGATCAAGTAATAAACCATTATAAAATTATCTGTGATGCAATTAGTAATAATTTAGATAATAAAATGCTGGAATAAATTAATTAAATCCTTTTTAAAAATTACAGAAAATTATAGAAAAAATGCTAGTTGATGTTCATGCACTATTTTGAAAGTATATATGCATTTAAAAATATATGAGGGAAAAATTGGGTATCAACAATACCGAGCCCATTTACTTGTTATTGTTTTTCATCTATTTTATGATCTTTATGATGTTGTTGTTATTCCTATGGTTTATGTTGATGGTATTGATATATTGTCTCTTTTCGTTGAGCCGAGGATCTTACGGAAACAGCCTCTCTATTCCCTGGGGATAGGGGTAAGGTCTGCGTATACACTATCCTCCCCAGACCCCACTAGTAAACTTTTATTGGGTCTTTGTTGTTGTTGTTGTATATACTAATAGCTCCAAACTGGTGTAGTTAATAATTTTTATAATGTCTCTCGATTTATTTTAGTGTAAAGAATATCATTGTATGTGCAAAAGTTTTGCGACGATGCAAAATTTCCACGAGAAATAAATTTATTTTCCATATTACACTTAAAAAATCAGATTACGTGTTCCACATCCCTTTGGTCTTGTATATTGACGTCTTAAACATATGAAGCAAAATTATCTTCAAAATCTTTTATTTGTATCTCCCGTACGACACTTATTGTAAATATTTTTGATGTGTGATATACTTATGGATGAGTCAAAGAGTCATAATGCTACATAATTAATTTTATGTTGGTTTGTACACATCGATCGTATCTATATCTAACTAAATTTAGCTAATTATTTTTATTCGACAGTTAAGTTTGTGCTTGTATTTTTTCTTTTAATATTATTTATTTATATTATTTTAAAAGTTTGTATCAGGTGACATAGAATACACGTGCAATGCACGTATTCAGAGTATCGAATATCGGGTGAAAAAAACAAAAAGAATCATGGTGATGGACACAATTAACTTCCTCTTTCCCTGACGCTTCCTCCGCCGGTGGCAGAGCCTATGTTTACTCTCTACATTAATTGTCAAAATTTATATTAATTCCCAGCTGTAAAAGCAAGTAAAAATTGACTACACTATTACTATATAACTTGTAAAGTATTTAATTTGCTTCGTTAACAATTTTTATCGCATGGGGATTACCATTACCTTAATAATTATAGCATTTAATTACTTTTCATGTTGTTTCCACCTGCACATCTTTAGCGTCTAAAGATCTAAAAATTTCCACAGTGCTTATTATTCCATGTTATTTCCGCATGTAGTTATGCAGCAAATTGTCATTGTACACAACACAGAAGTTACACATTTTGCCCCGAGTCAATACACTCACACACAAACACACACACACTATATATATATATATATATATATATATTCGAATTTTCTAGTGCAGGCGGTCGTTTTTGTTAATATCTCTTAAATTTATTTGCAACTTCCAACGTAAATTGATTGTTCAACCCAATTTGAGGAATAATTCGTGGCGAACACTTAATTAGTGGCCCAATATCAAGTTATTATGTTGGGAAAACTACACAATATAGTTGCTCTAAAATATACTCCCAACGTTTCATATTATGTGTTGCGTTTCTCTTTTACATGCCCCTTAAGAAATATTAATTAGTAAAGGGATTAGATTATTCTACTCTTATTTATGTCATAAGATATAATCTCTTTTCATTGAATATTTATTCTATTTATGTGTTATCTCCATGTCACGACCTGTAATTCCAATCATCGGGACCGTGATGACGCCTAACATAACAATTGCTAGGCAAGCCAACGTTAGAGTATTATTAACCAATTTCCTTTACGTTACAAAGATTAAGAGTAAACAAGCTAAAACAAGTAAAAATAATTGCGGAAGTAAATAAAATAGCCTCTTGTTCATATACAATTACCAATACCATTTCTATTATTACCCAGAATCAGGTGTCACAATCCACGAACACAATATGATTTTCTACAAACATCAGTCTGAAAGAAATTACAATTGTTTTGGAAGAAAAGGAAAACAATAATATAGAGATGTAGAAGGGGACGCCAGGGCCTGCGGACGCCGGCAGGACTACCTTGGGTCTCCTAGTTGAAATTATCTACAACCGACCTCTCGATCAGCCACTGCCTGCTCCAAAATCTGCACAGAAAGTGTAGAGTGCAGTATCAGTACAACCGTCCCCATATACTGGTAAGTGCCTAGCCTAACCTCGACGAGGTAGTGACGAGGCTACGGCGGGGCAATTACAATATAACCTACATACAGTATATAATAAAAATAGAAAGAAGGACATAACAAAATAAAGCAGTAACTTGCGAGGAATGAATACAGAACTCAAGTGTCTTATCAGTATCCAGCTATAACCAATCCTTAAGTGAAATGCAAAGCTACCGAATAACTTACACAGCAGAAGAAAGATACATAAACACATAAATTGACCGGTGTGCATGCCGATCCCACCATATATCAATATCAATATGAACATTCACCCTTATTACTCCAATCAATCCACCCTTATTCCTCTTGTTGCGGCGTGCAACCCGATCCCACCGTATAATGTCATTTCACCCTTATTCCTCCTGTTGCGGCGTGCAAACCGATCCCACCATATAATAGTATTTCGCCCTTATTCCTCCTCAATATATCACCATCATTCCTCCTATTGCGGCACGCAAACCGATTCCACCATATCAACATCAATTACTCAATAAGTACAGAAATATTCACAATATTCAAGACCTCTTCACAATATTTAAACCTCAAACCAAAGCAAACGGAAAGTTTGTACATTATGAAACTTCACACAAATAATACTACTCAGCGAAACCAAACCAAAACATATCATAAAACACTGATAAAACCAGCTTAAGCCAATATTATGAGACAATGAAACTACGGGGTAGCTAATACCTTTAACAATGAAAAATAATGTCTAACAAGTAGCAATTAAGCATGGAAATACCTGTAGCATGTAGCATTTAAAGCAGGGAAGACAATAGAATAAGAGCGGAAAGAAAACAGGCAAAACAAATAAATTGGCGGCGCATAGGTACTCGTCACCTCACCTATATGTCACTCACATGGATTTTCATATACTCCCTCTGTTTCATATTATATGAGGTAGTTTGACTCGGCACGAAGTTTAAGAAAAAAGAAGAAGACTTTTGAAACTTGTGGTCTTAAAAACTTAAGGGGTAAAAAGTTTGTGGGGCCATGACATTTGTGTAGCTATAAAAGCTTCTCATTAAGGGTAAATGGGTAAAATGAAAGAGCTTAAAGTTAAATTATTTCCAAATTTAGAAATGTGTCATTTGTTTTGGAACAGACTAAAAAGGAAAGTACCTCATTTAATATGAAATAGAGGGAGTAACAATTAAGTTAAGAATTCCTAATCCCTCGAGTCAAAGTTAAACACAATACTTACTCGATCCGCAGGCCACTCACTGCTCAATTACCGTTTTTTCTCAAGATTCCACCTCCAAACCACTCGTATCTAGCCATAATTAACTTAATAACATCAAATATTGCTAAAGGAATCAATTTCAATACATAAATTTAGGTTTCCCAATATTTTTCCCAAAAAGTAAAAAATCAACCCCGGGTCCGCTTGGTCAAAACTCGAGGTTCAGACCAAAACCCATAAATTTAGGTTTCCCAATATTTTTTCCAAAAGTCAAAAATCGACCCCGGGCCCGCTTGGTCAAAACTCGAGGTTCGGACCAAAACCCATTCATCCACTCACCCCGAGTTCGAATATGTAATTAGTTCTGGAATCTGACCCCAAATCGAGGTCTAAGTCCCCAATTTGTAAAAATCCCTAATTCTACCCAAACCTCCAATCTACCATGAAAATCCTAGATTTTTGGTTGAAAATTCAAGAACTATGATGGAAAATTGAAAGAAAGTGGGTTAGGATCACTTAACAAAGTTTTGGGGAAGAATTGGTCTTGGAAAAATCACCTCTAGGATTTGAAAAATGTGGAGAATTGGAGAAAATCCGGTCTAACTTACGTTTTGAACAGCTGCAGATGTCACATTTGCGAACTAAGCTTCGCAAATGCGAACTCCTCGCATTTCTGCTGCCTTCGCAAATGCGAACTATTGTTCGCAAATGCGACCTTAGGTGATCGCAATTGCGATCCTAATCTTCGCAAATGCGATGTTCACCCCTGCCCAATTGCTCGCAATTGTGATGAACTCTTCGCAAATGTGAGGCTCGCATTTGCGAGCCAGACCTCGCAATTGCAACGTCTGCAGACCTGAAGCATACCTGCAAAATTTTTCAAGTTCAAAATATTCCGTAGCCTATCTAAAACTCGCCCGAATCCTCGGGGCTCTAAACCAAACATGCATACAAGTCTTAAAATATCATAAGAACTTGCTTGCGTCATCAAATCGCCAAAATAACACCTAGAACTACGAATTTAGCACTAAATCACATGAAATTCTTAAGAACACTTTGAAATTCCTATTTTCACAATCGGACGTCCGAATCACATCAAATTAGTTCCGTTTCCCACCAAATTTCACAGATAAG